AGGGGAGAGGAGAGGGGAGAGGAGCGCGTGAGCCCGCAGCCCAGGAGCCAGCGAGAGTGGGGTACAGACCTCCTCTTCCTCAACGCGGGCCGGCTCTATCAGCAGGTTATTGGCCTGGTCAAAGGACACCCCCTGTCAAGACGGGACCAGCAGGGCACGCAGGTCAGCGCCCGCCACCGCTACCACTGCCACCGCTGCCACCACCACCACCAGCGCCGCCCCCAGCCACCAGCATAAGCCTTGTCACCACCACCAGGGAGACAGAGAGCCCCCAAGGCCGTCAGCGGAGCGCACGCAGGGTGGCCAGCCAGATGTCCCCATCCGCAGGTGTGAGAGCCAGAGTCTGCCCGGAAGAGTGGGGGCCCAGAGCAGCTGCCCCCATCTAGGGCCTGGGACCAGCAGCCCAAAGAGGCTGTGTGCCCAACTGGGGGCCAGGGTTGGGGGACCTGCTTGCCCCTCAGCCTCTAGGGCGACAGAGACCACCCCAGGGTCTGGGTCATGACTGCCCTAAACCCAGCTCCACCTCTGACTTGCTCAGGGTGGGCACCAACAACCAGAACCAGTGGGCCAGTGACCCTTGGGGGCGGGGGAGTCCACCCCCCAACCGTGCATCAACTATGCAGGCCTGCTCCTGCCCCAGGTTGTGTCCACACCCCCTGTCCGGTGTTGGGGGTGGGAAGGGCAAGGGGCCAAGTCCCACCTTGACTGAGGGTGCAGCAGCTGCGGCTTCTTCCTCCGGCTCTTCCTCCTCCTCCTCCTCCTCCCCTGCCGCCTGGTTCTCTTCCTCCTCTTCTTCTTCCTCCTCCTCCTCCTCAGCCTGAAGAGCCCAGGCGGTGTGGGGGCCATTGTGCCAGCCTCCGGGCACAGCCTGGCCCTCGCCATCCGGCTGCCCGCCTTGCAGCAGGGCCACAACTGCCTCAGGCCGTGGCAGCTTGGAGACCTTGAAGTGCTTCTTGTAATGTGGTGTATCCTTGCGGGTCAATCGCTGCCGGCCACCGGACGCGGGCCAGGGGGCCTCGGGCTGCCCTTCCTCCTCCTCACTGTCCTCCCTGGGCAGCAGTGTGTCCTCCGCGAAGTGCACTGTGGGCTGTGAGTGTGGGTGAGAGAGGGGCCCAGCCAGGATATGCTGTTGCTGCCGCCACTGCCTCCGGGGCAGGAAGTGGGGATTGGCGGCTGGCCTTGCTCCGGGAGACCTGCCGGCACGGAGCCCTAATCTTGGCTGTGCCCACCCCCCACCCACCCCTCCGCCCCTGCACAAGCTCACCTCCTCATACTCCTCCTCTGGACTGGCAACCGTAGGTTCCTGTTGACCTAGATCCTCGGCCTGGGCTGGCAGGCCCTCAGACATGCCCTCAGAGCCGGTGCTGGCGGACGGGTGCGAAGCCTCAGATTCGGTGCTGAGCCTCTGGTCCTGCAGCAGGGGCCTGGCTCAGTGCCCATGCCACTGCGGGCTGTCTCCTCCCTGCATGCAGCCAGCTCCCACCCAGGGCCACCACCGGACCACAGGCACCTCCAGGGCAGGTGAGGGGGACCCGGGGCCCATCCTGCAGGAGGGGAGCTCAGCCCGGCGCTCCTCCATGCCCTTCTTCATCACCTTCAGCTCACTGGGGTGCGGCGTGGCACGGCGCTGCAGGCCCTGTGGGGTGGCGGGGGTGAGGGGTGGGCCAGGGGTCAGGTGGGGGGCTGAGGCGGCCCCGGGGATCCCGGTCCCCACCATACCCGAGTCTCGGAAGCAGCCTCGTCAGTGTCCTCAGCCCCCTCAGTGTCCTCCAGGAACTGAATGACGCTGATGCGGCTTGGCGGAGCATCGCTCTCGGGGGGGCTGCTCTGCACCACGGACTCCTCTGTGTGTGGGGTGGGGGCACACACCGCATCAGCATCAGCCAGCACCCCAAGGAGGCACAGCCCGAACGGCCAGGGTGGCGACACCTACCGAGGCTGGGTGGGGGCTGCTGGGGCAGCAGGTAGCAGGTCAGCACCTTCTCACCGCTGCGGGCGTCCTCCTCCGTTTGGAAGCGCAGCATGGGCTGCGCCTGGTTCTCCGCCAGCCACAGCGCCTTCAGGTTCAGGTGCGTCAGCGCCAGGGGAAGGCTCTGCAGGCTGAGGGGTGGGCACGGGGTCAATCAGGAGGTGCGGGGCCATCCAGGACTGGTGTGGGCGTGGCTAGCCAGAGTGAGTGGGCAAAGCCAAGGGTGGTGGGGGCTCACCGGTTCCCGGCCACGTCCAGCACGTGCAGCTCGGCCGTGTGCGCCAGCTCCGGCGGTAGCACGGCCAGGCGGTTGTCCCGCAGGGAGAGCACGCTGAGGGCGGTGCAGCTGCCGATTTCGGCCGGGAGCCCCTCCAGGCGGTTCCGGTCCACGTTGAGGTTGGTCAGCTTGATGAGCTTCCCCAGGGAGTGTGGCAGGGACTGGGGGGGGAGGGAGGGGGCAGGTTAAGCACCCCACTGGCTGCCCCACCTGGGCCCCATCACACAAATACACCCGTTATTACTCCGCCCCACAAGGGCTCCTGGCTTGGCTCTTTGGACCCCCATCCCGTCACATGTCCTGCCCAATCCACTCTTTCCAGTGCTCCCTGCTACCCCAGCACGCTCTGCACACACTCGGGCTCCGACTTCTCACTGAAGCTCGCATCCACCCCCAGAACACCTGCCCTCGTGTCCACATAAACACACCTCCCAGCGCAGAGTACATACTCACACCTGCACGCACTGCTCCCACTGCCCGGTCACACCCACACACTGCCGTGCTTGTACACACACTTCCACCTGCATACACACGTCCATGCACGCTTCTACCCCCAACATACACACACTTCTATACCACCTGCGAATTTACTGCTATCCTGGCACACCACCTGCATACTCAAATCTACACACACACCTGCACACACATAACCTTTCTACCTGCTTACTGGTGTCCGTGCACACATACCACCTCCACTCACATGCATGTCCGTATGACACTGTGCTGCTCGTCTGAACGCACACACGCCAGCTCCACATGCTCGTTCACAGCTGTTTGCCACACACACACCTGTACCCATGTGTCTACACGCATGCCTTGAAGTGCAAGCACTGACACACTTGTGCTGTGTACTTGCATAAACACAAGCGTGTACCTATGCATGTGCACATACCCACATGTTCACGTTACTATGCACCCACATGTGCATACATGCACACTGTCTCTACATGTGGGAAGATTCAAAAAGCTTTTGGAGAGACGGAAAGAAAAGATGGGGACGCCCTCCCGCATTCTCATGCACACTTGGTGTGTACCACTGGCACATGTCCCGTGCCAGGCCTACCGTCAGGAGGTTCTCGGTCAGAATCAGCTCGGACAGGTTCTCACAGCCCCCGATGGCCTCAGTCACCTCGCACAGGCGGTTCTGGTCCACCTTCAGGATGGACAGCTGCTTCAGCTGGCCTGAGGGGGCAAGCATGAGGAATGGGTGTCGGCCACCACAAGGGGGTGCTGGACCACCCCCTGGCCTTTGGTCCCGGCAGCCGCGGGCCTCACACACCAATGCCGTCAGGCAGCCGCTGCAGCAGATTCTGTGACAGCAGCAGGTCCGTGAGCAGGACCAGCCCCCCCAGCTCTGCAGGCAGCTCTTCCAAGCGGTTCTCGGACACGTCCAGGCACACCAGGCGACGCAGGTTCCCCAACTCCTGCAGGCCAGGCACCAGGGGTCAGGTTGGTGGGTGGGGCAGGCAGGGGGCCAGGGACTGCCCAGCCCACTCACCGCGGGCAGGACTGAGAGCTGGTTCCGGTCGAGCCACAGTTCACGCAGGTTGGGCAGCGCCCCCAGGGTGTCGGGCTACAAGGCAGGGGGAGGGGGCGGGATGGGTGTGACAGCAAGGCCCAGCCAGCCCCTTCCTCACCCCTGCCCCTGGCCCCACCAACCGTGCCCGCACCAGTACTTCCAGGTCATTGCCGCCGAGGTCCAGCTGCTCCAGCTTGACCAGGAAGGACAGAGAGCTGCAGGGAAGCAGAGCGTGGGGTGTGGATGTGGCCCATGGGCCCCGACCACCTGGCTGCTGGGTAGTGGGCAGCAGGGTGTACTCACGCAGGCAGGGACTTCAGCAGGTTCTCACGTAGTTCCAGGGTCACCAGGTTGGCAAGGCTGAAAGAGATCAGGATGGAACATGAGAGACACTAGAGAGGGGAGGAGGCAGGCCAGAAAGAGTGCTGGGGGGGAGGGGGGTGCCTGGCCTGGACAGAACTCACTTGCCCACGTCCCCGGGCAGCGACTGCAGGGACACATCGTTCAGGGCCAGGTGGGCCAGGCTTCGCAGCTGAGTGAAGCCGTCTGGGAGTCTGGGCAGGAGAACACAGCGTACCTTGGACACCTGGGCCAGGGCTCTGGCCGTCAGCTCTGACCATGGGCTTGGACCTCCCCGCCCCCAGTCCCACCCCACCCCACCTGGACAAGGGGTTCCCACTGAAGTCAGCAATCTCCAAGGCCTTGCAGAATTTGATGCTCTCTGGGATCTCAGGGATGTCTGTTGGGGAGGCACTCCAGTCAAAGACAGGCCCCCTAGCTCCAGGCCCCCCCCCAGGCGCCAGGCCCCCCCTCAGTCCACACCGTTCCGAGACACGTCCAGCTCCACCAGCTGCATGAAGTTGGCCACCTCCGGCGGCAGGCGCTGGATCTCGTTGTCACTGAGACCCAGCTTCCGCAGGTTCAGCAATCGGAAAAAGGGCTGTGGGTGGGGGCGTGGTCAGCAGGGCAGCCCCCGTGCAGGGGACCCTCCAGGGCAGAGACAAGCACCTGAGCAGGACCCTTTGAGTCACACATGGCCGGGGCTCTGCCACCTCAAGGTGCCAGTCAGGGCCCTCAGCTCGAAGCAGGGGTACTGGTGCAGAAAAACACAGAGGTTACTGGGAGCTCTGAGAACGGTGGATAGTCTCCAACCAGCCTTCTGCATCCAATTGCCAGTGTGGCTGTGTCAGCTCCCACTCTGGCCCTGCCACCCAGGGGGCCAGGCCACTTTCTGCTATTGCCCCCACCCCCACCCCCCCAGCAGGGCGCTGGACCTAGTGCAAGAGTCATCAGGCAGCTTAGCAATGCCAAACAGCAAAGCTGCCAGCGGCCTGACTGCAGGTGACTGGGCAGCGCAACCTGCCTGCAGCCCCGCCTCTAGGAAGAATGGCCCCCAGGCACCAGGCGCTTACTAGGCGATACTGCAAGTTCCAGAGTACTCCTGCAGGGAGGGGGGGCGGGCGGGCAGCGCCCAGCTCCGGAGAGTCCGATGCCTGGTCGCCGCCCCGCAGGGTTACCTGGTCTTCCCTCCAGGCCCGGCCCCCTCCCTGGCCGGGCAGTCACCTGAAGGCCGCTTCCACCTGGTGCCAGCCCAGGTGGCCAAGCCAGCCGTGAGGGTGGAGCGGGCACACGGCTCTGGCCAGTAGGAACCGGCAGGGCCGGCTGGGAGGCTTCGCTGCCCCACCCGGCCGGGCGCGGCATCTCCCCGGCCGCCCAGGACCCGCCACCGCCGCCGCGCAGGTGCGCGCTCACCTTGGGCAGCTCGCGCAGCTGGTTGGCGTCCAGCAGCAGCTCCTCCAGGCTACGGCTGTAGCGGTAGATCTCCTCGGGCACGGCCTGCAGAGAGCAATGCCGCCGGTCCACCGACTCCACGTGCCGGTTACAGCGCCACAGTGGGATGCACTTGAGCATGG